TACTCTTGAGCATGTACTGTTTTGCATTTTAACCTCACTTAAGTCATGTACATCTCAGCCGGCTGCATCCTAATCCCCATAAAGGAGACAATAGGAAAGATGCTGCAGAAAGGGTGCTGAGCCAGGCCTGTTTGGCACTGACCTCTCCACCCACTGCTGTCCTCTGGATGGTCCTTCCAGCATTTGGGATGCACACATTTTGTTAAACACGTTCTGGCTGTGATTCACAAAACTGTCAGGCATCTTTCGCGCTGCTGACTACTCATTGGCAGGATCACTTTCTTTTCTTTTATGCCTGCACGAGTATTTCATTCTATTTGCATACATGTGCATTGCTACACATTTGTGTTAATGTGGATCAACAGGAGGGCAGATTTGCAGAATCCTTGTTGTGAAGTAAAAAAAAAAAAAAACGGTTTTCAAATCTATGGAATCTATACAACCTGCCAAAACCCAGACCACTGCTGAATCCACAGGTCAGATTCGGAGAAATCCAAAGTCATTTAAATCCATTGCTCATTTCTCTGATAATCCTTGCTCTGCTATGGGTTGCTGACTTGATGACTACTTTGATGAAAACTGGGTAGCTAGTTTGACTAGTTTTAGGCCCCAAGTGAAAACAGTATTTGCCCAGGCTTTTAACACTCCATAAGTTGCTGCTACTTTTTTAAAGGCTTTTGCTAGTTTTACTGCTGCCATTTCAGCATTTATTTACTGCTGTAATAATTCAATTACTAAATTTTGGTTAGTAATTGAATTATTTTAACCCAAAGGAATTGCTTGCTCTTCCTTTTATTATAGGTAGTTTCCTTGACAATTTTATCTGGAAGAGTGGGATATATATGCTTTGAATATTGCAACAGGTTTTAGAGTTATAATATTCCATTGAAAATGCAATCCTAAATATATTTACTGGTCTGGAGGTTCAATTCAACTTAATTCTTGGATAAATGTGTCAGGCTGTATGGCAGTTCTATGGTGTTAGTTGCCAGTACCATCAATGGAACATACTTATTTCTTTCGTTTTTAATGGAGTTGTCATTTGCTTAAGGGCTTTTTAGATGAATATTTTGCCTTTCAACTGGTTAATTGAATAATTAATCATATGGCATACAAACAAACTTACATAGGACCAAAACCTAAATGTTGGGTGTCTTTCAAGATATTGAAGGAAATATAAGATAATAAGCAATGAAGTAAATAAAAGGAGGGAGGAAGGCCATGCTCAATTTTCTCCCTTTCATCTCTGAATGCTGCAACACACCAGAATTAAAGAAGTGCTGATAATAAACAGTTTGCTCTTTACTTCCTTCTCTGATATTTACACCCACATGTCAACATTTTTCCCTAACCTGAGAGCCAGTGTGGCATAATGCTTAAGGAGCGGCACTGGGACTTTGCACAAGTCTCCACTTGGCCATGAAACTCACTGGGTGACTCTCTCAGCCTAATTTAACTCACAGGGTTGATGTTGTGACGCTAACATAGAAAGGAGAAATTTGTAAGCTGCTGTGGGTTCCTTGCAAAAGGAAGAAAGGCAGGGTACAGATGCAGTGTCATAGCAATAGTAACATGATCAGTCAGGCAAACTGAAGTTTTAGAATGAAGTCAAACCAATTAATAGTGGCATGGCCTTGGAATGAATAGTCTGGGTATGAACCTCATGTTTTATACCTGGTCATTTATCCTGTTTGTGCAGCGTGTTACAAATTAGTGCTCTTCAGCTAGTAGTACATAAGTAGAAAGATGAACTGGGTTTGGGAGAAAGGAAGGGTACGTGAGGGTGTGACTATGTTCTCAACCAGTGCTGACTCTCTCTGTATGCTGCCCCTCTCTCAAATCCCAGGAACTGGAGTTTGGTGCAGGCGCCAGCTGCAAGAGATCACCAGTTCCCTGCCCAGCAATACAATTGCCAGGTTTTTGTACAGTGAAGAATTATTGAACTGCTATGACTGCAGTATGGAAATGCCCTGAAAAAGAGAGAGGAGAAAGGGGGTGGAAACAGAGGAAGAAAAGGAGAAGGAAGGGTAGGTAAGTTAAAAGGAAAACAAGACATTGGGGACCATGTTATAAACTGGAGTTCAAGGTGAATTCCTGGATTGAGCAATTTGGAAATGGCAGCAATAATTTAGGTCAGGAAGAGAGATCATTTACAGCTAGTCGGCTTCTAGGTGCAGGAGGTTCTTACAGCTGGATTTCTGACAGTGTTTAATGCATTTTGATCCAAAGAGCTCAGGGTCTCTGTATTACTTTCAGAACAACTGTGCAAGGTAGGATAGTCTGAGAGATGCTGGCTAACCTCGGGTCACCTAATGAGATTTGTGGTTGAGTTGGGATATGAAAACACATCACCCTCACCCTTGTCCAGTATAATGAGCCTCTTTTGAGGATGGATCTCAGCACCATGGATAGCTCCTAGAACCCTCCCATGAAGCGGAAAGGAAAAGCTGCAATGGGTGGGGAGTCCCGCTGAAAAGGAGTCACCACCCCCGGCTTTTTCTTAGGCAGTTACATACTTACTGCATAGCAGTAGCTGGAGTTGAATCAATGGAGGCAAGGCAGTGCAGTCATGCTGATTGACAGCACCCGGCTGCAGGCCAATACAAGCGTTCCACACACTGCGGTTGCTCGCACAACAGGACAAAAGTTTGCTCTACGGTTTGTTTGATTATGAGGAGGAATATACCAGTCTAAGGAATGTTTACAATTTACAGATTGACATGGGAGAGGAAGCAGTGGATGCCAACAGAAAACTTTTGTTTTTAGAGCAGTATCAGTTCAGCAAAATGCAAAGCACATACTCCAAAAGCTCCTCGGCCATCTGCAAAACCCCCCAGGCATATCTGCCTTCTTGGCTGCATTGCAACTTCCATAGCTGCTCTCCAGGTGGGGCGTGGCTAGAAGATAGTCAGTCCCAGCCGTCAAAGAGTCGTGTATTAGGGAACTGCTGCATCATCTGGCATCACCTCTAGCCATGGTCTGTACAGGAGCCTAGAGATACTCGGGCAACACAATAGCATTTCTGCATCTCCATCAAGTCATCCCATGGTGAATGCTGCACAAAGGGGATGTGCACAGACCCTGGGCTGGATCCAGATCTGAGCTGGATCAGCTCAGCTAGTGGAAGTGGACTTCCTCACCCTTCCTTCCCATGGGAGCCCCTCCAGCACCCTAAAATTGCTAGACAGAGATTTAGGAGAGTCTGCCGAAGGGGTTTCATTGTGGCATCAAAGGAGCAGAGAGACCTCCACCCAAATGCAGCAGAGAGACCTTCAGAAAGTAGAATACTTCATTTTTAAAGATTCGTTCCTCTAGCAAAAGTCAGATCCTTGGTCCAATCCCTTGCCTTCATTACAACGAGCAAACTGGGTTATGGATTAGGCCACATATCTCCCTTCCAAATAGATAAGCACAGCCAGTTGAAACTAAAATGGCAAGGAACCAACAATTCTACCCCAAATGGTTTAAATCCCATTTTCATAGGATATTATTTATTTTGTTTTGCACCAAGACAATGTAAGATAAAATGTCAGCCAGTCAGCTTTGGGAAGGAGAAGCGAATATCTAACAGTGACAAGAAAAAAATGAATGTAGCTTCTACAATATCTAATTGGCACTGAATAGGATGTTGTTTTGCAGGGGTTTCCATGGATCTGGACTTGCATAGTAATTCAATCTGATTTTAAATTAAGCGTGGGAAAGTACAGAAAGGCTTTAGCAACACTGAATTGATAAGGCATTCAGAAATATTGGAGGGGATGGGTTCAGGAAGCAGGAATTTGGCCATGTTATCTCACCTGCCCCTCCCATTCTGCTTTTACTTCAGATCCAGAATTGAGTTAGTTGCTCCCAGTGGGGAAACACCAGCTCTTTTAATGGTGGCATCCTGACTTTCCAATCACTTTCCAAACTCCAGTTGCTATAGTAACTTAAGAAAGCTTTCTAGAAAAAGAAACACACATCACTTCTGAACTTCACCCAAGCCACTTCATTAAAGTGTAGCAGCTGTTTAGGTTTCTTTAGATTTTTTAAGAGGCGCACGTACGCGTGTCACCCATGCTTTTCCTTTTCCTTTCAGATAAAAAAGGCAACAACAAAATGCCTCCCCCCCACATGCACACACAATTCACTCCTAGTACATTTCTGTTTTCCTTAGTCCTCCTCATTCATGTATATCAACTGCACTGCTTCTCTTAAGATCTTTTTCAGGCGTGACACCAAAAAGCATCTCTCATGCAGTATGTAGTTTGTGTTTGATGGCTATTAATACAGGATGGAGCACAGAAAAGAATAGCATATCTCTTAGCAGAAATGGTATATTCCTATTAAATATTGATTTACACACAAACTGAGTTCAGCTTCCCAACTGCAAATGCCCCTTTTCAAAGTGTGGATTATGTAATATCACACACGCACACACACAGTGTCTGTGATCTGAATATAAAGTACAAGTTAGATAGGAGTAGTTAAACTTGGCTGCCTTCCTCTTAGCAACATTGTGTATGTAAACACTGTTGCACATGCAATGTGTGAAAACACATGTTTGTGAAAATGTTTGGAAAAACAGATCCCTGAAATTCTCCATAAGCTTTGAAAGTGAATTAGAAGAGGGGATCTAAACGGGTGACGCTGGGAGTTTAGACTGAAAGAGAAAAAGAGTTGTTGGGTGGACATGAGAGACAGAAATTGAAATGGATTTGGCAAAAATAAGCTGAAAGGGGGCAAGAGGCAGGGGGACTGCAGAGCTATAGGTGAAGAAAGACAGAGAACATTTTAAAGTAACATATACAAGAGTGTTCATATGGAGGGGCATCAGCTCGAAAAATATGCAGCCCAGAAAACAACCCTTTTGGGCACATCGTTGATTCACACATCATATCTAAAAGAGAAGTATTTTAGATGTCAGTTTAGATGGATGAATGTAGAGCAGAAGAGTCATTGGAAAGAACATTATTGATGAGGTGCGGATTCCTGGTATTTGAAAGATGAGACAGACTTACCTATGGTTGACACGACTGTGCCGACAAAATAGAAAGCTCCTGTGAAGTCCCATCTTGGTCGAAGTGCATCTGCTCTGATGCCTGCTGCCATAGCTGCCTCATAACTTCTCAGGAAGGCCCTTAGTTCAGGGAGGCTAATGTTGAAGATCTGGCTGAAGTTCTGCAGGGTCCAGTTCCAACGATGCTGTGCTTCAGCTTCAGATGGGCTCTCGATGGCTGAGAAGATAGTGGCTCCAGCGGTCAGGTATGCCACAATGAGCACTGCTAAGAGGATGAACCTTCCATTGTCCTCATTGAAGTGTGACACGCAGCAACAGCCTTTTGGTCTCCTGATAGACATCATCCAAATTTCAGCACCACAGAGGTGATGGACAGCGACCGACACCTCATTGGAGGCACTGGCATGGAGCTACCATCCAGTTAAACAGTCCGAGAAGAAAACCTGATTCCTTTTTCTGGAAAGGTTTCTTTTCTGAGTCATGGATCTTGGCCTGTCATGCTTAATGTAGAGAAAGAATTCCACTGAGCTGTATCCCATAGGGCTCATCCACATCAGCCTCAAATAGGTATTCACATATAGATGAGTAGTCACATATATTCTCTTAAAGCCACATTGGGAGTTCCATTGCTGTTGCAAGCCACTACTCAGTCCTTGACTCTACTAGCCATTGACTTGTAAGGAATGGAATTATCCTCCCATCCCAGGGAGCTCCATTTGGCCATATTCTTGTATTCCAGCCTGTATCCAAACCAAAGGCAGATAGGTTTCCTGTTCAGTTTCAGTAGTACTGAGGTGTTGCAGGCATGAGCAACAGAATATAGGGTACTTTTCTTCCTAAAGCATTCTGAATCAACTCGCTCACCCCTTTGCCAAGAGGCATCTTCCCTCTCCTTTTTGCAACCCTTACTCCAGACCTGAAAATCACACAACTGATATAGATCTTTCTTCTCCTTGCTTCTTCATGCAAATGTCTTCCCTTCTGCCAGGCACGGTTGGAAGGCTACATCAGGAAAAGGTAGGACAGGAGAGGTCAGCTGCATTCGGCAAACTTCTGAGGCTGCAAAAATATGGAGTGTTCAGTGAAGTATCACCCATCTGTAATTAAACTGCTTGGATCCATCCATCCATCTGCTTCCTTTCTCATTTGTTTCAACCTTGCCATCATCTTCCTGCGCTGGAAAGTCCTAGATCAATGAGACACCAGTAGAACTTCATTTAGGTCTCTGTTCAGTCAATCTCACTCCTGCATACATGGATTGACACACTCGGAATGGCTCTTTTTCAGCAAAAGCTCTGGTACGTGCAACAGAACTCTCACCTGTCTTAGGACTTGGCCAAACTTTTGTGTGTGCACGTTTGCATGTGTGTGCCTACTTGGATCACTCCGGGATGAAGTGAAATTAATCTTTGGACACACATTCTGTCCTCACCCAAAGAACCTTTGGGCACGCACTTTAACATAAAAATGATTTAAAGCATGAAACGTACAAAGGGAGAACACAGACCAGAAGGTCATCCAGATCAACCCCTCCATGAAGGCAGGACCTTTACATGACCTCCCCCAGACCAGTTGGAGTCCAGCATGCCCAAAAGCAAAGGCAGTGAACGAAATAGACTCCCCCAAAACAGACTTTGTTCCGTGGCTGCCTTTGCCCTTCTTTCCGGACCAGGCACAGCTTCCCCCGCGGGGCTCCTCTTTCTCACTCCACGCCAGAAGCGGTGGCCCTGCCATTCCTGCGGAACCTGTCCCCTCCTCAGCCACCCACCCCGCTGCGCCTTCCCCCATCGCGGGCTCCCCCGAGCAGGCACTCACCGTGCCCTCTTCCCGAAGTACTTCTCCGCCCTCCGGATCGTGCCGGTTTGAAGTTCCAGCGGCGAACGGCGGGGCTCCCCCGTCCCCCTGGCCGGTGGCGCCGGACGGGTGCGGCGCCTTCGCCTCGCCGACGGGGAGGCGGCGTTGGTGCGGGGCGGGGCGCGGAGAGCCGCCGGCCGAGCGAGTTGCGGCGGTTCAGCACCACGGATAGCGCACTGCAGCTCCGCGTGCGCCGCGGCGCCTGGCCCCCCGCGCCCGCCTGTGGCCGCGCTCCGAGCACGGGGAGAGCGCGCGCCCGCCCGCCGCGCTCCGGCTCCCGCGGGCGGGTCGATCGAGGCTGCTTCCCCCGCACGCCTTCCGCGATGGCGCGAGCAGCAGAGACGCCGCCGCGGGGGGGGGGGGGGGCTGGGGAGGGGGCGCTGGCGAGGAGGGGCTGCTCCCGCCCTGCTCACACGCCGGGAGGGGTTTTTCTTCTCCTTTTGCTGCTGTTTGTGCTAGAGAGGCATTTCCGACGCTGCCGCCGCGGTTTCGTTCTTCTTGGTTCGGGATCGGAGAGGCTGAGCCCGGTGGAGTGATTTCCAGAGGCCACCCTGGCGGGCGAGGGAAGGACTCCGGCTTCGGCAAGGGGACTCGCCCCGTCCCCCTCCAGGGCGGGACGGGGACGGGGACAAGACGCGTCACTTTCCCTTGCCGAGCAAGTTTTGACAAGATCTTTCCCCATGCCTTGGCATCTCGGCTTGATCCGATCGATTATTTATTTACTTTTAATACTTTTCGCCCGCTTGGTGTATTAAAATCCTCAAACGGTTCACATGAAAAGCCAGTGTGGCGTAGGTTGTGGGATTTAGCCTGGGGAGATCTGGGTTCCAGTTCCCTCTTGGTCTTGAGGTTCCCTGGATGACTTTGGGCCAGTCACAGACTCTGCCTAACTTACCTCATAGGGTTGTTGTGAGGATAAAACGGAAAGGAGGAGAATCATGTATGCCACCTTGCACGAAAAAAGAGGTATATAAATCTATGTTTATATTTGATTTCATACTGCCCAGGAAATGAAGCCCTCCAGAAGGTTAACAACAATCTGTGCAATGCAATGAAATAAAAAGCAAGGACAATAAAACAGCCAATTGCAATGCAAAAGTTAAAACAGAATTTTAAACAATTTGAGATACTGAAACAATTGCTGGTGTTTTCCTCCTGAAGCAGCACCTCGCAAACTGCAGTTCCATCCTTGCACACTCTCGATGAAATATCATCTTTCCCCCAAAGCAGTGATTACCAATTATACATGTATTATATATATATATATCGATTATAGATTCATAGAAATATGTTTTGCATCTGTGCTTGCATAGGCCAGCAGAGGTGTACCTTTATTGAAGCAATGTGCATCAAATATATGTTTCTGGTTTAAAAAGGCATCGAAAGTCACCTCATGCTGCATCCCACCAAAACCAACCAATGTCTTCAAGTAGCTATGACTGAATCAACTAGAGAGGTTTTGTTGCCTGCTAAATACTCTAATTCCACTGTCTTCCCTGTGAAAGAGGTTTATTTATTTGTTTAAAGCATTTCTATGCCGCCCCATTCACAAAAAATCTGCAATGCCTCTTTAACCAGTGAGAATAATTATACAAAATAATAACTATTAATAATTATATTTCTGTACCCATACTGCCAAAGCTTTCTGGTATTCAAAGCTTTCTGGTATACAAAGCTTTCTGGTATTCATCTATATGCATCCATCAAAGACAACAGTGTCTCTCTCTGTCATACTGCTTTTAAATTCTTCCATCTATTTTCCCCAAACAGGTACTCCCCAGATGTTTTGAACTACAGTTCCCATATTCCCAATCTGCATTCCAGTTGGATAGGGATGATGGCATAGTTTTGGGAAAGCAGCTCTGTCCTAGGGTGCCTTGAGACATTCTTCTGCCTGGAACTGTCCTCCTACCAAAACGGTTTTAATATAGGCTAGTTGGTAGATCTAGGAAGGCAAGGGAAGAAGGTGGTTCTGGCAGATCTCTGACTGATTCATTGGCGATCTGCAAGGATTTCTGGCTTCTAACGAACTCACTCCCCTCCCCAACCTGGTAAAATTATTCTGCTAAAATGAACAAAGTTTGAGAAAACTTTAGCATGGGAGGATTGTGAGCTCTATTCTGTTTTGCTCCTCAAAACAAATCCTGGACTCAGAATTCTTTAACGCTTCAGTATATTATGCCCTTTGCACCAGCCTCCAGCTTTATAGTAAAAGGAAAGAAAGAAAACACAAGTAGATCCTGCAAGACTGCCCTCCCCTGATTTAGAGGCATTCTGTTTCCATATCAAAAGGTGCAACCGGTCAATACTTCAGCATGAAATAAAGTTTATTCAGCAACTTGATCTATGTAAACACACACATTTTAGAACGCATAGTTAGAAAAAGGAGGGTGCTGTTGCTGGCCTAGATACTGCAACCGTGCTGCTTCTGGAACTTTGGGCAGGACTGTGTGATGGGCTCTTGCAATGTGGAGCTGGCTTGGCACAGAGCATTGGCATAAGAGTTATGAGTGACATCCACATATGCAAATTTATTATTTATTTATCTGATTGATGTATACCCTGCCTTTCCAGCCCAACATGGGAGCTAATTAATGTTTGTTTACTCTATTTTTTTGTTCCACTGGATAGCCCACATTCTCTGGGTGGAATACGAACAATTAAAAGACTCATCTCTCAGAGGGGAGCTTCTGAAGATGGCTTAAGGGTCTAGGCAGGTACATATGAGAAGAGACATTTCTTTAGAAATAAAACATCCAATTTTCCATCCCAGAAGCACAACAGGAGATGGACATGATCCCCCTTTCCATTTTATCCTCTTCACAACACCGTAGAGTAAGAAAACCCAGTGAGTAAGGATTTGCACCTGGATCACTCCACCCCTGTTTCCATTATCCAACCCCTACACCTCACTGGCTCTTTACTTAGTACACAGCTTTTGAAGCTGTGTTATCAGGCTGAAATTATCCCCTGGGAGTCAAAACACTTTTCCAAAGAACACAATAAATATCTGTCCAGAACAAAACTGTGAGAAAAACATCTGAGGGAGTGGCTGCAAGAGAAAAGAAGTGAGCCTGGAAAGGGTTCAGCACTTTCTTGTGCACCTGCAAATTCTCTGCTTCAAATTACATTGTCTGGTAACCAGGATGCATCTGTTTTGCAGAGCAGCATTCCTGGGAGGTTAAGGAAAGAAGTAGAGTTGAATTTTTAATTTGTATTTGTGTGGCAGCAAATGCAATGAATAAATTATATGATGTGAGAAGAAGTACTCCCCCACCCACCCTGAACATCCAGAGATAAGTAAGCTGGGGTTCAACCTGGAGATAAGGGGTTCAAAAATCTAAGGGCCCTGGGCTTGCCAGGCATGTCTTGAGCAAACTGAGAACTCTGGAGCATCTTTACGTGACATCCTGGTGCATGCCATACCCAGTCCCTCCTCTTCAGCCCTGGCAATCCCCATTTCTGCTCTGGTCCAGATGTTAAACACTTG